CCTCAGTATCGTGAAGCTACCGCAGACACATTTCATCCTTCAAGACAAAAACTTCTCAGAATTAAAGTAAACATTATTTTTTGTTGCTGGGAAGTGATTCTTTTAACAGATTATTCACAATGATTCAATCTTCGGAGGATTTCGGAAACATTTATCCATCTATGCTGATTTCTCATCCACTGGAACCATGTTTGATAATCTCTTTGATCTAACTATGGATCATTTTCTAAGCTGTCCTTTGGAGAAGTGTAATTTCTTTTTAGTATTTTGTCGCTAATTAGTGTCAACCGGTTCAACTTCGTTTCTGCACCCCTGTCATGGAACTAACGTTTCATTACTCAGCACTATTTGCGTTCACAATACCATAAATCTAAGTTGCTGGTAAGAACTTTGCTCATTTTAAACGGCGAGAAAAGTTTTTTTTTTGTGTGTGTGTAAAATATGTTGGTTTAATTTGCGTCAAACCTCGCCTTAAGTAAAGCCGTGTTAATTATCTTAGAAGTGGCTCCAACGAAAATAAACGTAGTCTGAAATTCATATGTCGCAATCACCGATAATTTAAGGAAGGGAAATGAAATAAATGAGTTTTAGATTATTTTTTCTTTATCTAAACTTTAGAGTCCATGCAGTGCTGTTATTTTTTTTAAAACCACCCATTTTTCACAACAAAATAAACTCATCTGTATTTATGGAGATTGTCTACAGCGAGTTTTAGAAGACATTGCAAATTGCCTCGTAATGCCGAAGATATTGAATCAGGTATTATGAGGGAAAATGTTTTTTCATCCATCAAGCTTTAGTTATAATCTTGAGGGTAAACATGAATTGATAAATTGACTTCAAGAGATTACTATTATAAGAATAAGTTTTAAACAATAAGATAAGTATTTCACAGATCTAAAAGAAAAAAAGAAAGGAAAGGAAAGGAAAGGAAAGGAAAGGAGGGCAGTTATATCTCTAGGCGTAAAATGTTTGGTTCACAAGTCGTAATTTTCCAAATCTTACAACTGTTGGTCATTTTGGGTTTATTATGATGTCTTGAGAATTTTTCTGCTTCAGAAAACCTATATTTTCAGACAAACCACGCCCGAAATAGCGTGATAGTCGCCAGTTAAGTCAACATTGGCGGCTAGTTAGGTGGCAAGGGAATTTCCTGCTTATAAGAACATATGGTAACAAACGTATCTTATCACACTGTCAGTAAAATGCTGAATTTATACATACAAAGGGACAGTAGCGAACACAATTTTTACTTGAGAAAACCCACGCCAAGCTGTCGTTTTAAACTGCCTTTTTACCTTTAAAAACAAACTCATCACGTTTTTTTAGCACGTGAGGATAGCGTGTTTACCACAATGAATTGTTGCTTTTGTGCGTGAAGCAATTTTATGAGAGCTGCGTCAGTTTCCTTGTAAAGTAAACAGGCTGCTTTGACTACGGAAGGTGTAGGAACTGATTTGGGCAATCCTTAAAGTCCTCCAGAACAGGCTGGAATATTTCGTGCTGGCAAAGTCTCACGATTCTCTGCTCTTTTTAATGACAAAATTAAGGTCGGTGGGGGGAAGGAATGGCGAAGTTAGACTTTCACAAGCTATCTGAAATTGTTATAAACGGCAAAATAAAGCAGGTACGAAATATAAACCAGAAAGAAAATATCAGAACTAATGAAACAACATTGTTAAAAACAACAAATCGTCTAATTAAAGCAAGCAAAATCAACAGTTTCGCTAATTTTAATTTGGCACGCCTTCCAGTCATTGTTTCTGTCCCTACAATTGTTCTTCTACGGCCGACAAAACCCACATGGGAAATTTTTCCTAAAGATGAGTTTGTATTCGGAACTAAAGCAATCAAAGCAGAAGAAGCAGATGGAGAAGAAGCCTGTGTACCTGTTTTTTGCGGTGTCAACGTTAGGTCTCCATCTGATAAGGTATAGTATTTAAACATTATTTATAGTTTTTAATCTGATAACCCTTGAACTATCCGAGCTTGGAGGGTTGGAAGGTAAAAATAAACTTATTTTCTTTTCCAAAAAAGATGCATATTGCCTGACATGCAAGTCCCACATACGGAGACAGATTATTATGCTCATTTGAGTCCATAAGAAGCTCTTCTTAAAATAGAATGAACTCTTTGTCTAAATAATGGCTAGATAAGATACCTCACGAGGAAACACAAGAAAGCAATAAACATAACGAAACAGAAGACTATGTTGATTCAAACCTGATGGGTTGTCGAGAAATACATTGTTCTTGTCTCCATTTGGAGCACATCACTGAGTCCACACAGTAATTCTGGGATATAGCTAGCAACAGGCAGGCTGAGGCACTTACCTAAGTAATTTTCATTCCTTTTCATTGTTTACAGTCATCATAAACAGCCTTGATACCCGGGAAGAGAATTTAAGCATGGATATTGCCTCAGTCATATTTTTTTTCTGGCAATGACCCTGTAATCAGTAAAACGGGTGTGGATGGAATTGAACTAAAAAATTCCTTCCAGCAGTTACTACAGACCATTGTTCTGATGGGTGTAGCTTTTGAAAGTGTTATCTTACAGACAAACGGGTCACACCTCACCGATAACAAAATAACAAATTTATCAATGAAAATTTGATTTATTCTTTCTCCATCATTTAAACAGCAATAAAATTCAATACTGAAAAGCTTGTTAACTGGATTAATACCTAGCTTTGCCCAACAGACACGCGAGCAGACCACCCAAAATTTCATTGGAGAATTCTGGCTCAATTGTCGACGCCAAATGCCGCATACGTAGGGTTTTTTTCTTGTCATTCAGTTTACCATGCAATTGTTTTGTTAACCCATTTGATGAAACCAAAAACTGAGGGCAAGCATTTTGGTTAAAACGAATAAGAAAATATCTACAGCTTTTATTTTTCGCGCAGATTAGGGATACGTTTCACATTTTCCGTGCCTGTCGCGTGTCGAAAAGTTAATCTGCATTTCGTTAATCAAGTGAAAATTCAAGTTTTGACTTGAGTTGCAGTTTGAATATTCAACTATCCACTTCGCAAATGAAATGTCCAAGCGAGGATTGAAATCAAATTTTTATTCATGAATTCCATCGCTTCGTTACTGGTAGGAACGCTTGACCTGTTTTGACTGCAATGGCGCCCCTGTACCTGTGATAACAAACGCCCTTTTGTTCCAATTCAGACACTGATCAAGTAAGTCAAATAGTATTGTTGCGTTGTTTTGAAAGACACTTCTTACTCTTAAATTGCCTTTCTCCATCAAGGAGTATAAACTGGTTAACCGGCAATTACAATCTGTCAGTGGAACCTAAGTGACCAATTACTAGGGGTAACCGGTGAGTATATGCATGCATACCGTACTGATTAGTAGCAAAACTACAGATATACTGGTAGTTTCATTCGCAGCAAATTCACTCTTTAGTTTAGGGCCACGTGGCTCAAGACGGTTTAAACTTACTTAGATACCAATTGAGTACGCCGGCCTCTTTCATCAAACCAATAAGGGACCTAGTCTAATACACTAAACCTGTATCGTTTGAGTCTCAACCTTGGGCGACGAAATGTGGCCATTTAGGTGTTGTTCGTATTCTCCCGAGATTGGCGTTATTTCAACTCACATAGGAAGTATAATATACAAACATTTGCACACTTGTGAAAATCTGATTTTCATACGTAGTTTGTGTTATCTAACGGATATCTTGAATTCTGACAACTTTTCACCTGATTTTGCTTGTAACGAAGTATACTTCAGGCAGTCAGAAATACCACACTATTAGACTGCGACAGCAGTTGCAATTGGAATCTTCTCCCATGTAAAGAGGCCTATTACATCAAACGCCAAACACCTTCCCTCAAAAAAGGACTTAAATCCAGCAGAGAACGATGTCTTTTCTCATGAGTTTACCTTTTTTCGTCTCTTCATTGTTATTAACCCGGTGTATAAGAGCTACCTTGTATATTCTAGTCTGATTATGGTATAGTTCTTCCCTAAATATGACTCTTAGTTTTGCCATTTGACGTCTGAATACTTCGACACAATCAACATTCCAGGCATGTTGATATTTCATGCAGTAAATGGTCCGACTCATAAAACGTCCTTCCGTGAGGTCCCAAATTTAGATCAACCCCGCCGTCGCCTCCTGGTTTTTTAAAGCAGGATATAGCTCAGGAATCATGATAAGCGGCAACCTTGCGGTCAGCTTTACAAGTTATCGGAATATTTCTCTCGGCTTTTGTCAGCCCGGTATATTTACTTTTTTTTAGGCAATGCCAAGATTTAGCTTCAATTAGCAGCGAAAAAAGCTTTACAACGATAAAAATAAATGAATACATCGTTTAAATTTAATCCGCTTTTAAACACGAGGACCATAGTGGTTGAAAAAATGAGAATTACCGTAATTAATTATGCCGCAAAACCACACCAATCAGTGGGCACTTTAGACTTCTCAGACTTATCTGTTGTTCCCAGAACACTATATGCCTTCCAAAAACAGCACGCAAGGTTATGGGGCATCTAAGACCCAGACTCAAGTAAATATTTCGCATATTCTCTGCTGATTGTCTGAAAAGATTGATTGATTGATCGAAATAATCACGATTGGTCCGTGGACAGAGGTAAGTTTTGGAATTTCGATGTTTTAAGAGATGTGTTCGAAGCTAACAATCTACTTAGTTTCACGAAGGACCAAAAAAAGAGTAAAACTAACGGATGTGCCCTTACTACGTTTGACTCAACAAAATCTCAGGTAAATTATATATAACATTTAGGCTATTGTTATAGGGTCGAGGACTGCACTGTTTGCGTAGAACTGATCCTAGTCTCACTTGACTGAAGAACGTCCGATTATTGAGTAAATGAGCTGACATTTTACCTCTGAATTTCGCCCTTTTCTAGGTCTATTCAGTGCGCCTATTCAGGCCTTAAAACTTGCTCAAGCTAAGTATGAAACGCTAACGTTCAGTTCCAAATGAAAATAGCAAAAATTAGCCGCCGTAGTTCGCGTTCTTCAAAATACCCCAAATTTAGTCATTTCACGTTGTTGTTTTGCAGAGGACGGCTAAGAAATGAACAAAGATTTGTTAGGCACGTGACAAACCATTGTTCTACTCATTAAACCTTTTGTTTGGTGGTGTTGTCCTTGCCGTCGTCGTCGTGGTTTGCTTAAGATCCGTACTTTCGAAAGTTGCACAACCGCAAAAATTGACGTGTTTACCCTGATCCAAAACAAAACATGTATGGATTAAACAGAGGTTTTCGTTCCAGTTGCTCTATTTCTGCAAAAGAGTATTTGCAAATTTTAAACTATTGTTTTAGATCTGTGCTACTTCTGGACGATTGTCCCCGCTGACCAGGGAAAAAGTTTTTTTTATATGGCATCTCTTCGTCACTGCTAGAGTTAAAATGAAACTACTTGCGAGGTCAAACCTTACAATTTTCTGTGTGGACTAAATTTTATGTCTGAACACGAAACAAAGTACAAGAACACCACCGACAACAGCGACAACAACAACAACAAATGTAAACAAGTGGGAAAATAGCAACAACTAAAGCATAAACAACTTTGAACGCATCGTGCCTGTATCGTCAATGCAGGAGTCAGTGGTATTAAAGTTAGGTGCATGCGTGGTGGGCACTCGTAGTCGGCCATGTGCCGTTATCTGTAATTGCTCTCCACCGTTATGTTACGATTCGTGTCATCGGTTTACTTCTGAGTCATTTCTCACAGGTGTTGTGCTTCTAAACGTTCTCCTTGCTATGCCACATCACTTTGTTAATCGGGTAGATTTAAAAATTCGACAGTATGCACCATGAAATCAGCAAATATTGTCCATTTGATTCCCCAAAATCTTTGCTATGAGGCTTTAAGGACCGGCCGGACCTTGTACTTAAATGCTCAAGATAATTTAAATAGCAGCAAGTACGGGATGGACGAGAGAGAGCGAGAGAGAGCAAAAAACTGGTGATTGATATGCAAGTTAATTGAGGAAGATATATTAAGGATAATTTTCTAGACCTCGCCGGAGTGAAAAAAATCAAGTATCGATTGGCAGTATCGGGGTTGCATGTGTGCAGCTGCCCCCTCACCGTGAAACGAAACACCGTGATCTTTAAGGAAAACATGTTTATGTCCTATATAACCACAAAAAATGCTCTTACAAAAATTGCCACAATGCACTCCTTATCTGGTTTGAATTAAATGAGTAAAGTTTATAGAGGTCAACAAAGAGCCCAACAGTAAGTAAACATCTTTGGTACAAATTTAACTGCTCTTTGAAGTGACGAGAGAAGAGGTAATAAGGAAATGTTTTAAGTTAGGACCACCTACCTTTATTTATACATTCTATGGGTTTTACTGATTACAGACGGAAATATTTGAGTCATACAATGTCATTTGTGGCCAATTTTTCCTTGTGTCTCGATCGGCGGTGAACTAAACATTCAATTTAAAAATTTGAATGTTTAGTTCACTGCCAATCGAGACACAAGGAAAAATTGGGAAAAGAGTAAGAAAGAAAAGGCTTCGATTTCCAAGAGTGATTGAAACATAATTTCTCCGTACGATAGTAATGTATTGTCAAGCCGTCATGTAGGAAGAATTAAGAAACTCGTCAACTGAAGCATACAATTGATGTTCCCCGTCCACCTCTGAAAACTGAGTCAGCATGATTTCAGAAAGTAAGGACGACGAGAAACTCCAACGAAACAGAAGCTGTTGTTTCGACAGATTGCACGAAGAAACCAGGAGCTCTGAATGGGCAACAAATGGCCAGCACTTCAGCTGACAACTGACAAATGATCTTAAATGTTGACTGACAGATTTGGCCTTGTTCCCCCTCCACACTGTCAACTGGTAAATTGTCCAAATTTGAAATTACTACCTATTTAATCCAGATCCTCTCGAGCCCTTCGTCAACTTGCGTTTCTGCAAAAGGTGTAATTGTTTTTATTTTGTCAATCTCCTTATTCCGCTCCTCACGTAGACTTGAAGCAATGAATACCTTTGGACGATAATTACTGAAGTCGGTCAAAAATAGCGATTACAACTTCTAGTTCAAATTTACACTAGCAGCACATGAAATATTGCTTTGCATGTAATAAGTGATTGTTTGCTTTACACCCAATATATTTATAGCGCGTTATTTATGGAGGCACGCGTGCGCGAAAGCCCGTGAGAGGATAAACTGGCGCGTAAGGTGTGCGCCGTATATTTGCTCTTGGTTAGACATTTGGGCAAGCTCGGAATATAATTTGTCCTTATCAATATTGCAAATATTTATTTTAATGTTAGACCTGACTGAATTTTGCCAATTAAAAAGGATCATCTACCATTATAATCCGTTGTACCTAGTTCTTTGTCGTCATTCTGTCTGCAATGAACTGACAGAAAAAAGAAATTGGATTTTTGGGGAATTAATGCATTCCTGTAATCACTGCTTCGCTCGAAAAACGCAAAACACTGAAAGTTACACAAAACTACGCACAGACAAATCTCGCCTTTTGGGAAAAAGCACCTAGCCTTTCCTTCTTTGTTTCATCTTTCATCGCTGACAGCTATTCTTCGTGAACTTGCTTTGTAAACCATACTTTGGTCAAGAGAAATGAAATACACATACGCGAAGGGTCAGAGTATTTTTAGTGGCTCCTTGGCCTTTTCTCCTACACAGATAGTTCTACGCGTGCCCGAAGAACAAAATCCACGTTCCTGAAATTCTTTTTTGAACTGACGAAACCAGATCTAGCCATGATTACATTGCAGCACCAGAAGTATTAATCAAGGAAGATCTTTCAGCAATTCGCCTTGTCAAAACGTACCCAACTTTATTTTGGTGCTACTCAGTTTGAAACGTTCTTGTATTTGCTTCGTGAACAGTCCCAGGCTATTTTAATCCATTGCTCTGTAGGTTTTCTTTGATCGATTCTGTAATGACCTCGCCCTCAAGTACGTGCTCTGCTAGCAGAACATAAATGTACCGCTTCATTTCCTTTCGTTCAAAGATTAGCTGCAGTAAGAAACCCCGCTGGAGAGCCGCGTCGTGTCAACAGACCACCCACCATGAAACCAACGTGTGTAAAGTCATGTGTGGCTAACGTAAACTCCGTAACGCCAGCCTCCTGAGTCACGCGCCCTCCAATCTATTTCCCAGTATGGACCCTTTTCAGTTACAAGCCCCTGGGATGTAAGTTACGCCCCTCTGATATTAAGCTCCCTGTACTTCCTTTGCTATGGTCGCCACCACAGTCATGCAGTGAACGTTTCTAATTTACATCATGGGTAAAAGGAAAGAAAAGCAAAAGGTTCATTACAAGAGCGAGCTTGTTCAGATTGTTTCATTTCTACTTTAAGATTGTATTTTGACATGCCTTGATCGAGCTTGACTAATAAAAGCAGTTCCATCTCCGGGTTCCATCTGTCTTCTGGCAAGTTCCTCATATGTTCCTTTTCCTCTTAGATCCTGAAAGCGACCATCCGGCAGCGGTTGTCAAAAACCCGTACTGTTTGTATTTGTATAAGCCCAGAAGGCTGAGAATCGCTTTTTGGAGCGCTAAAAGTACCCAAATGCATGCGTCCTCAACTTAAAACATTACAGAACGACGTGGAAGTTTTCAACAACATAAGCAACATTCAATCGGATTGTAAAAGATAGAATTGATTTTCCACGGGTCGACAGCGATCAAGATAGAATCACGTACCTAGAAATTAGCTATTTAAATTATTCAGCTTAAATGTCGTAATCTGCTTAATAGGTTGTTTTCTAAGGAATCAAAACTCGCATCAGATGCAGAAAATTCTTTATTTATTCTTAAAACATGCTGATGCATTACTCCTGGTCAATTTGTTAAGATTTACTGATTTGACTTTGGGATAAGCCGCACTTGTTTTCGCATTTTGCCTCTTATCATTCCAGGTTCTAAAGGTAATAAACTGATCTACAGCTTCGAATTGTTTCATTTCGTCTGAAGCCTTATTCAGTTACAAATACTCAAAAGGTCACCGATTCCTTCTGAAGCACTTTCGTCTAGAGCGAATCACTAAAGAACGTTAAGTTTGTCTGGCGCGTGCTTTGTCGTGTGGCCATTTTTATACCAAAAACGACCTTAGCTCGGATGAACAAGACGACCCTGTCTGGGGAATCTAAAGACTCTTAAAACCGTCGTTTCAGTACAAGTTGATTTGGGCGGAACCAAATAATGGGCCTTTTAAAAAAAACGCACTGAGATCGCAAGAATTGCAAAATCGAAAGGAAAAGAAGCACAAAATCCCTGACACCTTAGCATACGTAAAAGCGATCGTAAGAAAATAGGCAACTACAGGACTGTCAGAGATGGAGGGGAAGCTGTGTGACGAAACAGGAGTTGATGAGATATTTTCCTCACTGCAAAGCTTGACTGCTCGTGTGGTCGAACAAGAACTGATAGTGGTAGATATATCGATATCGGCTGATCTTTCGATTGACCTCGATATCAAACAGAATAGTGGTGGCTCCAAGATGTCCGTATATTGAACTAAGTATCAATAGACAGGCTAACCTAAATGACCTTACAGCAACAGGCACGAGTTACGTACGGGACACTGCAAGCTGCACAGTCCCTTAGATGCAAATGTACCCTCCTGTACTCGAAACCTTAAAAACAACACCTTGACTTCTCCGTTCTCAATGATATTTGGTGAAACGTGTCCGGTAGATTATGTAGTGCGTATAGTGTGCAAAGAAGTGACCCCAAATTTTATGCCGGATTAGTGTAGCAAAAAAACCACTACCACCACTTACAACAACGAACAAATTAAATTAATTAGCGCCAGTCTCGTCATGAGTTATTGAAATCTTCCTGGACTCGTTTGAAGTTTAATTTACCTTCTCTCACCAAAGTGACTTAAAGCTTCCCGAACAGTAGCACCGCTTCCCTTAGCCCTCGTGCAAAAGATTAAACTGGATTTTGTTTAGCATAGTTGCCTCTAAAGCCGACCCTGGGTATAGAATACCAAACATACTCACATGGCTTCTTTTCAGTTTCAGCTGTTTGGGTGATCAAAATAAGTTCATCATTTAATCCCAGATTCCAAAGGCAACGAAATCCAGTAATATGGCTAGACACTTCTTTCATGTGTCAAAGCTTTTACGAAAAGAACTTTAGCATTTTTTCATTCTGAACTTGCCAGCATTCGTAATAAAAAGGGTTCCAGACCTCCTTTTGGTAAACTGGCATAAGTACAGCTGAACACAGAGAAATAACATGCTATTATGAATACGTGGAATGGCGTGGGACACCAGAGTCTGTCTGACAATGCAAACGATGTACTTTTAGGCACAGGATTTTGCCATGTTTGCTGCCGTCGGACAGAAGAAGGAGAGTCAAAGAATATAATCTTTCGTTCGCAGTTTGGCAAAACAATTTCTCCATACCACAGGTGAGAGGATATTATTGCACCCTGAAGAAAGAGAAGTAGTGTATATCGAGCGAGGGTTGGAATGAAAAAAAAAAGTTAGTTTGTCTCGTGTTAGTCTGGGAAGATGCCATGCTCATCTTAAATGACCTAAAGAGGTGATAAAGTAGATGTTTACACAGTAAAACCGTGTGATTTGAAGAATTCAATTGACTGTCAACAATTTAGGAAACTACTACACACACGTAGGCCCTTCCTGAAGTTAAAACATGACCATTCATCAGCGGACGGTTGAATTACGACCCTGCCAAGTTCCTGCTAAGTACAATGGAATAATAACTTAGAGCAGTGATGACATGCTAGCAGGCACGCCTTGCCACGGAAGACTAGATTTCAATTTTTGTGATCAGCTTTGCCGGTGAAAATTAGATTTTAGTATTTTTAACAAATCCTTATCAGTCCCACGTTCCCGGCACAAATAGGATTAAAGATATTATCGGAAATATCAGGAAACAATTGACAAAATACATTTTTGAAACAGGACATCCTAAAGAGAGAGCTAGAACATTCTTAGCAAAGAAAAACGAAGGTTGTATGCCTAACCTTATTTGGGCACGAGGGCAGACCCTTATTGAGGGAACCTGTAAGATAGAACAGCCAAACGTTTCCGATACTGAGCAATAAAAACACTAGGGAACGAGGCTCTGTCGCCAAGACGAAGGAGTTAACGAGCGTTAAAACTCTAGCTGTCTTTAACCTGTTTTAACCAACTGTCGTGATGTTAATGAACTCTTGCATTTCAGCCATCTTGGTAAAGTGAACCTATTCGGCTAAAGTTTTATACGAGTTAATTAAGAATGAGCTTTTGTTGTTTGTTGAGTGCTAACCCTCTACTCTCGAATCGTGCGGCTCATATAGTATCAGTGCCACCTACTTCGACTGAGGAGTACTGATCGAAGAGACTTCTTGTAGCAACGGCTTCACTCCCTCGACCCGAACTCTCGTCGACTGTTTGGTGTCCTGTTAGGTTCGGCCTTCAGTTCACCAGCTAAATCATTCGGACACTGAGTGGGCTATGGGCAGCTCAGTTATCGGACCATGTCTGCCCTCGCCTGTTAACCGTGTCGATATTTTATTGTAGATGACTTTGGAATCCCACGATCGACTGAGGAATCTAGAATCAATTACCACCTTTCGAAGTGACTCGGCACTAATGTTATTTCCGTCAGATTTCTTGACACCACGAAACGGCTGGTAGACGTGTGAATCACTGATTCATTGGTGTACTTAAATACTTTAATTAAGTTAATGTTAAAGAATAATTCGCCAGTTGTCAAGCTGTTCAACAAGTTGTTATTAATATGCTGGCTATCGGTTGAAACTGTTATGGCAGGGCAATAATTTGGACAGAGCTAACCAAAATGTGCCTGAAAACGGTACGAAATTGTGCTTTGAACGAAAGAAGTGGAAATTAGAGATGGCATTCAGACAGCTGGCATAATTTTGACTGTCCTTAAGTTTAAATGATTCCTGACCTGCTTGTCGAAAGCTATAGGTTCTCGTGAATAGTGGCCCATCCGGCATCAACCGACGGAGGGCATGCTACCACAATGAACCTTGGATCATGCTAGTCCATGGCCGCCGGCCGGTGAACTCGACATGTTTCAGATTGTGGCCCAACAATTGGTATCAGTAGCTATCATTATACGGCTTACTAGAGAGACGCCGTAAGAGCATAAAGGTGTTTGCCCAATAACTCGTTAACTGAGAAAGTGTCCTTGCAGCTTGAATAGCTGTGTCCAACGCACAGCGTGCCCACTTCCCACCCCCGGGCTTCCCACACAGGTCAAACTACTGATGCTCAATAACCAGAGCTATTTATTCTGCTCTAAAAGTAGGAACTTTGGATAACACTACTAAAACTAAACCAGCCATAGCCAAAAGATGAGAAGGTGATAATATATTTCAGTCTAGTTGACTAGGCGTTGTTTTAATAGAGCAAGAATCGAGTGGCCAGTGACATAGTGGCAATAATTACTAGAACACTTGGAGAAAGAGAACTTAGGGGGAAATAATCCGCACTTAGTGCTAACGCTCGTTGAAACAAACAAACAGTGACCAAACAATAGGCATTTGTTGTTTTTCTATTTTTTTGTGGTTAGATGTCTCTCCAGGATCGAACAACTCACTTCTCTCTGTAGTCAAACAAAGATCAATGATAGTGACCAGAGGATAGGCACTTCTCATTTCTGGCAGTAAATATCTCTCTCTGTTCAAAGAATTCATTTCTCTCTTATTAGTACTGGTCAAAAATAGATCACGGATGATAGTGAACAAAGAATAGGTATTTGTTGTTTTTCTCATTTAATTTCTTGTAGTTTAATGTTTCTATCAGTTCAAAGAGTTCACTTCTCTCTAGAGTACATTAGTAAAAAATGGATCATTAACCGATGACAGTGACCAGAGGTTAGGTATTTGTTGTTTTTCTCTTTTGCTGTGAATGCCTCTCTCTGTTCAAAGAATTCACTTTTCTCTATAGTAGATCAAAATAGATCATCACCGGAAATAACAGGACTTTGAACATAGAAACAGGATTAGGGGCGAAAAAATCATCTAAGGAAATGGTTTTTCATGAGGACAACATAAACTGGTTTTACAATAAAATTAAAGGATTAGGGTTTTTGGAGAAAATGCATTTAAGAAAAGAAAGCTGTTTTGAGTCTTCAAAAAGGAAACACTTAAAAACGATGGTGATAGAGACTCAGCCTTAGGGTATAAATGTCCGGGAAATATTTCCCAGCAAGAACAATTAGAACTTAAAATTCCAACTCACCACGAAACTGTCAAACCTTGTTTGAAATTTGTCCCATTTTGAAAGGCATTTGTCAGCTCTGTCAATCATTTTCTTGGGGGTTTGTCAAGATTTGTCTTATTTTTAGGCTGATTCACGCATCTTGTTCCGTACCTATGTGAAGGAATTGTTTTTGTACGCCCAGAAGCCAGACCAGTGCTGTAGGGAACACTTATGCTTATGCTGCAATCTGGTTTGCGTGTAAAGCATCAACTGCGGGATCGAGTCGAAGCTTGTTCTTTTCTTCACTAACAAAACCAAGAGTGACGACAGCTCAGTGAATTGCATGCAATAATATTTCAATTAAAGCCTAAAATGTATCTCAAGCAGGTCGCCTACGAGGCGCCCTGCGAATAATGCTGAAGAGTGACATCTAAGAGCATTGCTTGAAGATTTTGGCAACCTTTGTGTGTCTAATTGGAGCTACTACGCTGGCACATACCGAGAAACTCTAAGCGATAACAATCAAAGCTATTCATTTCTTTAGAAAAACATTTTTCGCTAATATGCTTCCAATGAGAGATGTGCTGTCTACTTGCTCAGAGCGTTCGGCGTCCCCAACGAGGAACAGTGACCTTGCAGACACTTTGCATTCATGAATGTAACATTCTTCAATCGCCCCTCACTGTAAATCCCTGCATAGCCTGGGAAGTGTTAGACGCAGTCTCGCGGTGGTTCGGTTTTTCCCACACTTTGCAATTAAATGTAATGAGAATATACACTAGATTTTAGTCAAGATAAACTCTAATTGACGAGATCAAAAGATAAGGCCGTTGCGGCGTTAATTGCGGGTCTGGATTCTCACGACGGGTTTTTTGTGTCGACGCGTTTCTCACGGAAAAAGACTCTCATTGAGAGCTCATGCGGTCAAATGTTATCTGCACCAGCCTCATTGCCAGCTTTGAGACCTTGCCAGTATGCAAAAATCTTGTTACGTTCGAAACTTCCTCTGACGTGAAATAATTCCCTAAACAGATGCTTGGGGTTGTCGGAAGTCATCTAGTGGAGTATACATACTAAAACAATACTAACAAAAACGCGTGTCCAAGAGTTTATGTCAAATCAAGGGGCAGCAAAATAAACTAACAATTTTCAGACCGAGTTACCCTACAATTCGGTAACTAAAACCATAAAGGCCCAGTTAACGTGATAATTTTGTCTAAAATCTAAAACGAGCTCTAGTTGTGGTCATTATCTGTTCTTGACACCGCATGTATGGAAAGACAATATTTTGTTACGGGAAACTTCGAAAAGAACATCGTTATGGTCGTGTTAGACCAATTTGCCACACAGACATATAATAACGCAGCAAATATGAGTCGTCTCGTCTGCTTGACACCAAGCTGTTTTTTTGAATTGCGTTTTAGTTTTCTGTCTTCCCAGTCGATCATTTCAAGTTGATTAATCCAAGGGGTGTGTCATTAAAACGCCTGTCACCTCCTTGTGTGGTCTACCACGCATAGGTAAACACGATCTCTCAATTCATCAGGCCACATTCGCCAGGTGGCATTCAGCTAAAGCAGATCAGAGCGCTCAACCGTCCTGACGGCATATCGGAGTTCAGTCGTTCGCGCGCGCCCTCTCGGAGTGCAAGATTGTACTTCGTCTCACATATTAAGTCAATACAATTCATTTTTTAGAATTGAGAAGTGAGAGCAGATCCTCAAGGCATCATGAAGGCAGAGCGGATTCTTCGCCAAATGTGCCTATTGGTTGCCTTCTTGATGCTCGACGCCGAAGGCATTTTTAGACTAACAGAAGGCAAGACTTTTCAAAAGGTAAGTGTTTTTTCCTTTTCTGAGAGATTAAAGAGTGTCGCAGTGTGTAGCTTTTTTATTAAAAAGGTTTAAAAGGCGAGTTTCTCGCAAGAACGCCGCCAGTATTGCCAAACGTTGGCACCGTAACATACCTTCGCCTCTATTTGCACGCAAACACTTATCAACGAACGAAATATATCTTCCTTTGCACTGAAATCTGCCAAGTAAAAAACATTTTCAAGAGGCGCTAACTCAATTAAAATAATTATAAAGATTCTGACGGACGGACTCAAGAATTACTTGGCATTTACTGGGATAATCGCCGTAGATCTCTTGCATTCGTCACGTGCTTAATTGTGGCCGAGACTCGGGCAGGCCACATTCCACTTACCGTAACGTTTTCAAGTGTTGCTAAAAGTGCTTTGGCAAACTGACCTTGCACGTTTTTTAATCAACGACAGTCAAGCGATTTCAATGTTATCTCCTTTTATTTATTATTAAAAGGAATAAGAAAACCTTGATCAGCTTTCGAGTTGTGGTCCTCTGGGTGATCCATCTAAACACCTCTTGCCAAACAAAAGTTTTTTTGGGCAGCAAATGGAAATTTGCTTCTCGTTTATTTTGTAATCAATCTATTGAACTCTGTTCTTTTGAGAAGAAATACATTCTCCGAGATTTTAACAGCAGATTAGCGATTCCTTCTTTTTCTGGAGCAAAAAAGACGCTCATTTGGATGGAATGCAATCTCTGGGACCATTCAATTAAGTTCTCTTGTTAGATTTGCTCTTTGGATTTCATTTTACTGAAAACAATTTGCACCGTATGACGTAGAATAAGGAAATAAAACAATACAATTGCAATGTTTACGAAGGGACTTTGCGAAATCCTCTTTGGCGTGAAAATACTCGCATTGTTTTCAAATTGCCGAGTACATTAATAGCAGATTTTACTGCAATGATCGCAATTTTGTCCGGAACTCAGCACATTACCGCAGATGTCTCTAAAACTGGTATTTTAGTTCGTGGTAGGGAGTTTTTTAGCGACACATGCCCAACAAAACGAACATTTTAGCGTTTAATGGAAACCATATGTGTGAATCTCGTTTGGGAATTAATACAAATGACTTTATCAGTACCTAAATCATACAGGCGTGACCCAGTGTTTGACTTACGGTGGAGCGATGCTATTTTCTACTCTATAACAGCACTGACTAATGTTTATAATTGAGGCTTTGAACTGCTAAAATAACTTGTACAAGAGAGTAAGGAGTGAAGAATTGTTTATAAACTGAAGAGCCTGTTCATCATTTGCTCCTCCCGCTAACAAAAGATAACAAGATGTCTAACCATGCCAGTCCATAGGAACAGAGCACGTATCAAATAGCCTCTGGACCACGCAGCGGAGTGCTTCATTTTTCATCTCCCCGTTTCCCATGTCAAACCATTCTTGCCACTGTAAGCTGAAATAATGGGTTGCCTGGTATGGGTTGGTGTTATTTTGGTCTTATTTTAGATCGTACACTCTGATAGGATATCTGCTTCTCTCCCATCGCGGAAACAATTCACGCTTTCTCTATTGCACAGGGCTTGTTCTCTCCATGTGCTAGTGCGAATGATGTCAAGTTCTTTTCAAGGAAACAAAAGCTTATGACACGATGGTTATGACATGTAAATTGATTGACACAGAGGTAGATATATTTTATGTGCGGGTCACCCACTCCTGGATTCTTTTGAAAGTCGCTACTTGACATCAGTAGAGCTGATATGTCTGGGACCCCAACACAAGAAAACTCTGCATTTAACGTGTAAAACACGTCCAAGAAATCTATGGCGGCTCAGCTGACGAGTAAAACACTGAGATTTAAACTGAGAATCTAAAACAGCTCGACTGAAATATTACGTCCATATCAACCGAGCTACAATATAAGGAAATATGGCAAGTTATTAGGTCAGCGACAGAGGTCGCTTTCTTGTTAATGCTGTCACTACTGATTCGATCTGAAATAATCTTCTGCCAGAGGATAACTTGAGAATTCAAACTAAGAGGTTTAAGTGAAACAGTGGAACGCTTTGAGGTCACGAGCCAGCCTTGAATAATGCGTTTTCAACGAATCAGAATTAAGGTCAGTCACAATGCAAGAGATGGTTATCAGTTAAAGACCCCACAATAACCGTGCAGCGGCTGCGAACACTCCAAGTAACCGTCAATGGCGTTTGATAACTTTCATATTTTTTACCGTTGGGTCTCGATCTCCTGGGAAATACTATTTAGCAAGACGAATTTCTCGATCGGGTAGTCTTTCTTCTCGAAAAATGCAGGTCGCAGATATCGTCATTTGTACGTAACGTTCGAAGTCGTTTCTTTCCAATCTCAAAGACCACATCACAAATTCAGAGGTAATAAGTTACTGAAATTTTCAAGCACTTAAAGAAAACGGGTCGACATCATTTATCAAGAGTAATCTGTGTTAAAAGTGCTAGATACTCTTTGTTTGACGGAAGAAATGACGTCGCCCTTTGTTTCTGGGATGGGAAGAATTTGTTTCATACCCATGTTGGAACTCAATCGCCACAGGGTAGAAAACGATATCGACATATCTAGGAGGTAAATAAGTTTGTGACTAACTCAACATTCCATGACTCTGCTGGCATGCCAATCCAGGGTATCAGTATATTTGTTTACGATGAATAGTGTTGACAGTCGATTTTAGAAAGATTTTTACACCACAATATTGTAAATTGCCACTCTAAACTGCCAAGGTCGCCGACACAGGTAACTTCTGCCAAACAGAACACGAGACGTTTCCGTAGTTTTACAATGTTTAGTCTGTACTTCTTGTAAAACCTTCTTAAACAATCTAGTGTACCAAAGCTGGGGCCGGAAAAGGCTGCAAAATTGAACCTTTTTGCATTAGATGTTGAGCTCAGTAAAATGGCAGCTATATCAAAGGAACCCTACTGCTTAAAATAGAAGAATAAACACAAGAATATGAAGTTCCCATATCCTTCACAGCAGGCTTCAATTCACTGGATTGAGTTCTGAAATATTTGTGGTGAGACATTGCATGACGCGCTTTGTCAATGCACGTATACATACAAACGATGACACCATTTCATTGACGAGTTTAGGGTTTCTGTCCCGTTATTTATTTTTTTGTTACTCTTTCATGTTTCAATGTTAAACTTCTCTTTTGCTTTTATCCGTACCCAACGGCATAGGAGAATTTTAGAAGCAGTCTCGAACTGGAATTCATTAATATCCAACCCTTGATCAGTTTGTGAAGAGATCTTCGAATTCTTTGGTGAATTATTTTCTGTCAGACCCATTCCTTAATTTTCGCCCTCGGCATTTATGCGAGGTGGATCATTTAAACCAAATTATGTAGTGTTTTCTTGGTCATTATCGCCATTACGGAAATTACGGGAGAAACAAGATAGGCTAACCAACTGATTGACTCGGATCAATCATGGCTCGAATTGTTTTTGATTGGTTATTTAATAGGACTGATATCATCAAGACTGAGCTAAAGAGAAGAACCCACTATTCCTAACAGAACCTATACTTCCGGACACGTTTTTTTTTTCCCTCAAATTTCATCCGCGCAGGACTTGATGTACTGAAGAACACGTTTTGCATACACACACACGTGTAATTACGGGTGACATGGCAAATTCCCCAAGATGACCGGAAATAAGTCTTGTATGGAGACTTCAGAGTATTTCCTGCAGTCTCGTTTTTATCACCAATTTAATTGTACACAAGACAAGTAGCAAGTGTGCTTTAATGCAAATACCTTATTTTATTTATTTTCTTTTACATACAGACAATAGGGGAGCCCTTCCGTTTGGACAAAGGAAGTCACGTAATTCCTGTTCTTATCTCACGGGTATACATTGAAAATGCCGTTAGAGGGCCTGTTAACATTTCATCGTGTATTGTAAACTCAGACACATGTTGATAAGGGAAACTCCCTTTAAGAATCTGCCATAAAACCATCTAAGCCTTGCACACTCTCTTTATATGTCTTGTTGAATCACTGGACTTCAAAATGCATAGCACAAATAAGCGATATGTGGATTACCCAAACTATCAAGTCTGCTACGGAAATGTCGAGGTTATTTTTTAGTCAGTTGAAGCTGATTTAATCACTGAAGCAAAAACAAACTAGGTTCTATAATTACCACAAACTGACCCTAAATTTTCCTTTGTCTCATCTGATGACAATCTCCACTTCTAATGATAAAAGGGCATGGAAAAAACTCTAGGAGTCGTCTTGGACATGGCATTTTCATCAATTTAATGGAAATCTCGACTATTTTTTTAACAGATGAGGCGAGTTCCATCACTCGCCTGAATGCTGTCGTTCGCAAGCCAGATAACACAGCAAGGAGGCGCTAATATCACTTCGTCATAAAACAACACCCCCGCTTTCCTACCAAACAATTTAAACAGCGGAAAACTAGAAACGAAATCCAAACAACCCCCCTGAAATTATCCCCGAGACAAGAACCCTGCCTGATAATTCAAACAAACACAAAAGCACGCTTAGATTTAACCTACAGGAACGGAAATCGTCATGAACAGAGTTTGATCCTAGTACTTGTAAGTTGGACAGAGTTCAGCCGATATTTTTATTCGCTCAATCCTAGTCCAAATTTAAACGGCTGAGAAATGAAGAGCACAGTTTAAAAGGGTTGAACCACACCTCAACGACAACGTAATAAATAGCACAACTTGTTACTCTGTGGTCACACTGCGAACTATAGTCTAGAGACTACGTTAGAGCAATCCGTGTACATTAAACAAAGAATACCACACATGGGAATACTGTTCCATAGCGGTTATTTGAATGGTCACACCGAGAGATTAGTCAACAGATCTTAACCACCTCACAACAAAATAAACAGCAGCACATAAACGTACTGCTCAATAGCTTTCATTTGAATGGCCCCACACTAGGGTTTTATCAACAGACTCAAAAGCTAGAACCACCTTGTACAGCATAATAAACAGTACCACATGAAAGTACTGCTCAATAGCTTTCATTTCAATCGTCACACACTAGGGTTTTATCAACAGAATGGCCCCACACTAGGGTTTCATCAACAGACTTAAAAGTTGGAACCACCTTGTACAGCATAATAAACAGTACCGCGTCAGAAAGTACTGCTCAATAGCTTTCATTTGAATGGTCTCACATTAGGGTTGAAAAGTTACAAACACTCTCTACAGCATAAAAAATCTGCTACTGCTCAACAGCTTCCAATGGAATAGCAAAAGCTAGACATTCCTGGGCTTTAAATTTAGCTAGTACAAACCATCTTACACGGCATAAATAGTACCGCATGAAAAACCGCTGAATATAATATTACCTCTTTTGCTTGAAATAATCACATAACCGAAATGGGGATTTGGCAGTCCACAAACAATTTACATATGAGCTATGTTCTGAAGTATTCGTTTCATATGTTTCATTTGGTTGACGGTCAGATAGTCCCGAAGAAAATTGAACCACGTCAACATGAACAATTTACCCTTTGAAAATTTAACCAGTTATTAACCCCGTTTATACCATGTCATAGAAAATACAGCCAATCAGAATACAGGAAAGCCGTTGTATACTATCGACGTTATTACACCTAAGCTTCCCATTGTACACTGCTTTGAGTGTGCTGGCCACCGTATTTTTTATGGCGTGGTATAAGATAGTTATGCAGCGCTTTCTTGTGTAATACCAAGAAGTAACTACTAAGCATACCACTTGAATGGGCTATTAATATATTTTTTTCCTACGTTTTGCAGGCTGATCAACCTGAAGCAGGTAAGTCATGCAGTTCTCATTATAAAAATAAACTCGAATGTAATAGGAAGTTTGTTATTTAAATCCAATTTTGCGGGTCGTAAAATTGTTTGGAATTTGGCTTTTTTCACTCACACGAGGTATTCAATGTATGAATCCCTTTTCCACCGGACATTTTCAAAAACCGACAGTCTTTGCTCCCATAGCAATTTCGCCATCTTCAAACTGAATTTTCCAAGACAGGTAAAGTAGAGGTTATGATACTTCGTTTGGCCATGTTTCAGATTTTTCCCGAACAAAATAGACCTTTTTTGCCAAAATTGGACTCGTTGTGTTAAATCAGACTCCATTGCATCACGCACCAAAACCAATTCAATCACGAAATATCGTTCTTAACAGACTGTAAAGGGCCTAAGTTCCAGTTACGATATTTATCTCTCCTCCCCGCCCTGGTGAGAAATCTGCAATTCAAGGAAGGTCTAATTTATTGTAGACATATTGTTACTGTGAGGACAAGAAGAAAAAAAAGACGAGACTAAAATCAAACAGTTGAATCGGTGCAACTTATGATACGAATTCAGTCCAATTATAACGTGCTCATGCATGGTTTACTGAATGCCGAGGTCACCAGTGAAAGATCTCTTGTAGCACACAGCAGTGGATCAATGACTTGTATGGTCACGTACAAAAGCATGAATATCAGACTATATCTGTCGACGTTTTTCAACCCTTGAGAGCTAGTCTTAAGAGCTGGCAAAAGAATAGGAGGTTTGGTTTTTGAGCAAACGACACGAATCGACCTTAGGTCAAGACTTGGTTTGGAAGGAATTTACCATTGACACTTCAATGGTAAAATAAAAGTCATTTAAACCCGTGTTTTTTTTATTGTATTCTCTTTTCCATCAGCACGCAAAAAAATACTCTTAACAGGAGTAGCTGATACCTACTTTGGGTTTGCCTTCTTTTTTTTCTTTGTATTTTATTAATTTTTATTGATTTGAAGTCACTTCAATTTTTGATAAACACACACATAATTCATAAACAAATGTACATCATACATTTAGATACACACACACCTCAGGTCCTCTTAACTCTCTTCTACTTTTAGATATGATACTAGCACAGTGCAGCAACAGCACGAGATTCTATATCAGTCTCACTGTCTTTGTACTTGCCCCATTTTATATTGTGAGCTTTTAATTTATTATCTGATTTTGCGATCATTGTCACAAGCTGGTGAATCATTTTAATTTTGGAATTAAATATTTTAATTGAAGGGAGAGACTTGGGTTTGTCTTCCAACAGGGACTGCTCCATCAGTTTTTATTGAACCTAAACATAAAACTGTCAGAGAAGGCAAAGGACTGTCGCTAACCTGTACAGCAACAGGCAAGCCTAAACCTCGCATCAGATGGAAGAAGAACGGCAAGCCGATCTCGGATAAGAATAACCGAATCAGAATAAGAGTCACAGACACAGGGTCCAAGCTGAGGATAAAGAACTCGACAATCCAAGACTCTGGGATGTATCACTGCGTGGCAAAGAACCATCACAGAACTTCTGGAAAGGCAGTAGTGGACGTAAGAGGTGTGTTTGGTTTTTACGCAATTTTGTTGCACAATTTTTCACATAATTGTCGCAAGAATCGCCACGAATTTTCACTAGCCTGGGTCAGTTTGGCTTGCAGATAACATACAAATTGCAACCAGTGTCAAGCGCGGGAAAAACTTACGTACGCCAAGTCAAGTGCGCTGATACCCGATTGGCTAAAAATATAGGATGTTTGCTCTTGATTGGTTAGATCTCATTACAAACACACCGAAAATACTTGGCCTATTAACGATATTATAGTATGACTGATTCACTCAGCTAGGCATTTTGAAAGACCCACAACTGTGGATTTGGAATTAAACTCTAAGAATAATCAATCCACTGAAATGAACTCTTTGTTTGTCCATCATTTCGTTGCTCTAGCACTCTTAAACTTTTTTTGTTTCTTACTTTCTTTTACATACCTCTCAATTACTTTACCTGTTTACAGTTGGGACATGTGAACCGTACACAGGGAGCGTCTGCTCAAGTTACATCTTAAAAGACACTAGAGTGTTAATTTCACCTCTAACAACACAGCGACATTCTGAAGACAACATCGTTCTCGCGGCATCAACTTTAACAGACTACATCAACCCAACGTGCAAGAAATCGCTTTTAAAAGCTCTCTGCTACAACCTTTTTCCACCGTGCCAGAGCAGTAACCAAGTGAAACCGATGCAACTGTGCAAAGATGAATGCGAGATGCTTCAAGGCAGGACGTGCTCGAAAGAATTCCCTTTGCTGAGAGAGCGACTTGGCCCATCCTTAGCTGAAGAGATTATTCCAAACTGTGCTAGGCTGACCAGAGATTGTTCCAGTGAGTAGATTTCATTGAACATTTTACAATATCCATCGTGATGAAGGTAAATACCAGTGTTTCAAATCCATCCAAGATTTTTTCATGTATTTGATTGGTTGAAACAAGTTACCCGCGCAATTAACACTGGGAAATTTTCGAGGATATCGCTATATCCTCTAGTCTTCGATTCAAATCTTGCTTTCAACGCCGATCAGCCATGCCAAGAGCATGGTACAACAGGTGTTTTTGCGATTTTTACTTACTTTCTCGACGCATTTTTTAAACTATTAAATAGAAGTGCGTTAACAGATCAAGAAAGCTTTGAAAGTCTGTAGAATTACTTTGGTGTTTGGCAGTAAGGCCGAAAAATAGAGAGGCTTTCTCCGATCCGTGAAAATATTAATTGAAGGATGATAACTACAACCTCTTCCGTTTGGACTGACACTGGACGGAAAACGATCCTTGGCCTTCTGCTAAAGCTTATGCTTATGCTGATGTCGGTGTTATGTTCAGTGAGGACATGGTTGACATAAGCATAAAGTGCTCGCTGATTGGCTGAAAGTCTTTCGTTTGTGCTTATGCTTATGCTTACGCTTATGCCAACATGTCCCCACTGGACACAACATTGACCGTAAGCATAAGCATAAGAAGGTTTTGATATTCTTATGCTTATGCTTATGTTCGGCCGACCTCACCAGCGCATAAGCTTCTTTTGTGCTTGTATTATGCTCATGCTTGCGTTGCATTTGAGGACCAGGCTTAAAACAGAAAACATATTCTCTATGTCTCTATCAAGATTTAGTTTAGGCTACCAGCGTCCTTTCACGAATGCCGTTCTCTTATTGGCTACGCTACTCACTAACTATTCTGTGGTAGATATAGTGAGTAGACTAGCAGTGTGGGCGTTAAAACAAAATGGCGGTCGCTTCTTTGCGTTTTCGAAGTGTCTGTGAAGAGGATTTAGATAGAGTTTTGAACAACGTGAAATAGCTTTTCAAGCGGAAAAGATTAATGAAACGCGACATCTTTCCGTGGGTGGGCTTTTCATGTAATCTCATTCACAGCCCGTCGTTTATACTAAACCTTGTTGTTAATACTTTTTATTATCTTTAAAAAGAAGATGTCTGCCGATTAATTAATTTAACGCGCTAAAATACGTAGTCTCGCAAATGACTGTTTTGTTTGCAAACAACAATTTTATTATCCAAGGCGCCAAGTATTACAAACTGCTTTCAGTTTTTAGACTGTGCATCGTACACCGATGGAAAGTTAGAAATCATATTTTACTGTTTAGTGTTGCTATTTCTTTCAATTCGAGATAATGCCTTACTTATAGGAGCAATCTCCCTGTAAAAATTAAGAGATTTCAAGCGCCGGTTTAGAAGAGGGACACGGGCGGGCGAAACTATGTATAGGCCAGCCTTCTTTCCGGGAGCGCTAGAGGCGCGTGAAAGCTTTCACGAGCGTAGCTTCTGCGCTTTTAAGAAGGAATCGAAACATGTGTGTTGTAACGATGTATTGTGTAACGATGGAATTCATATAGAGTTTGTCGCTTGACATTTTTCATCCTCGTTTTATTTTCATGGGAATGGAACAGTTCCAGGAAGGGACTCATGTCAGAAAGACACTGTAGGTAAGTGAGTAAACAAGTTCCAATCACTCAATTTTGAATAGTTTATTATACCTTTGCGCTTAGAGTTTCTCTTCTACCTGTACATGTTCGGATATTGAGCTGAACGGGTTAGGGGGAATTTCAAATCTGAGAGTAATCCTTATCCTATTGTGTTTTCTGCATAAACAAAGTAATAAAGAGGTTTAGTTCTTGACGATTTCCAAAGATTTCGGATCATGTTTTCCCGTGGAATTCCCAAAATTTCCCGTGATCGACGCCGAAGATCATACACAATTATTGACCATTAGTAGCCCGCCGCCTTCTCTTTTTCTCGCGACTTTCTGAAACCTTCAACACAGCCAGGTTATGCAGACATTTGATTTATCGTTGAAAAGTGTCTTTCTTAAATTTACAGATGTTTCCCAAGCGGTTATTAAGCCTATGAGAAGAAACTATCCAATATGCAGCGAGCGATTAAACAGGAAATTTAGAATTTACAACAAAGAGGTCCTCCAGCTCGTAAAGAACGTCAAGTCGGAATTACAAAATGGTGGGATGTTTTTAACCTCACATTCCAGTGAACTGTCTACGTACTGTTTCTCAGCCGCTGTCCCTTTGAGTAAGCTGGTGCGAGAATGGAACATCTATTACAGCACCCCCCTCCTTCCCAACTTCCAGCGGCCACACGACCTGACAGTTCCCGGATTGAAAATCTCCACGTTAAATTCAAGTGTGAGCTCTCTATGGATTCCGCTCGGAACTTCGGCTAAATATAAGGTGCACGAGAAAATTTCCCTTCGTAACGTGACATTTTACTACCGGTTCCAGTCTGGACACGGTTCGTTTATTGCAGAGGGTGAATACAACCTTTGTGAAACAGCTTTCAGGTTAACAGTGGAAACACTTTACGACGGAACCATCAAGCTGAGCGGCTTCTCCGAAACACCTCTCGATCTAAGCAACACCGAAACTGTTGAATTCGTGTCAAGAAGTCTACCAAATAAGTTAGTTGAGGCCATCAAAAATACAAATTTGTTTGTCCTTCGACTGATGAAACCAACTATGGAGGCTTATATAAGCGAAGACCTGATGGTGAAATTTTCTGGGAAGTCATACTTCGGGCCCAGAGCCCTCCCTGTCAAGCTTGAGTTTTTTGGCGGGAAATTGCATCCACATGACGTGCTATTGGTGGGAATCACAAGCACTCACGTGACTATAAACCAAGCACTGGAGCTGTTGTTTCCGGGACGGACCTTTCCTTTTTTGGACATTACGAAACACTCTCCCGATGGATCCAGTGTAAGTAGATGTCTTGCTCGTTACAGCGGTTTTCAATTGAGTGTCACACTAAAGTAATCATTCTAGCCAATCACAAAGGACGCAGGAAATCGTATGACCCAATCAAAACTGAAGTAAATGAATGCAACTGACGCAAAACGCGGGATAACCTGTGCGGGCGAGACACGCTTGGTTTTGGTTTTACTTCTGATTGGCTGAAAAGTGGAGCGAGCTTTTATTACCCAATCATAGAGCAATGCAAAACCAATTACTTTTCGACACTCAAGTGAAAACCACTCCAGTCTCATGACGATAGTAAAAAATCATTAGCGAGGGATGGTCACTGCAAGTAATGCATATTATAGTTACAACAAAACTAGCTCCTGTCATTCCAAGAATTATTCTGTAGCTCTGTTTATCGACCAGGTTGTTTTTTTTAATCTGCTAGGTTGGAATAATACTATCTGCGCATGCTCTGGACCTCAGCAAGACACCGTATCGCAGATTTCAACAGCAGCCGCTGTCTTTAGCGTTTCAAGACACAGTTCCTCTAGGTTTAAGCCTGGTAACGAGAGCAACAGTTCCTGTGGAAACACACAACAGCAGTCAAGTCTGTCAGCTTTTCCAGGTTAGCCGACTAAATATTTATATCATTTTTCTTGCTGCTCAAATTAATGACATGTTACGTTCAAAGATCATTCCTTCATCAAATTGTCACTTAAAGGTGTCAAGCATTAAACATCTCAGGCTAGCACTGAGAGGGTTCTAGAAACTGGAAAACAGTTTAAAACTGGCATAACTCACTGGTGCAAGTTCGTGAACCTCGTTGCTTCACAGGGGGTGCCACATACTTTTTCCTCATGTTTTTGCACTGATGTTTGGTTCGCGTAGCTTTACAGAGCATTCCTCTGTGTTGAGGTGTGACAAAATCAACATAAGTCAACCGGTGTTTGCAGACTAGCAGGTTATGAAATTTATTTAACATATAAGTGCAAATTAAGACTAAAAAACTGTCTTTGACCATTTTTCGTAGAAACACTTATTGAGATGCCGCAGAGCAATAGCTGGCTTGCTTAACTTCCAATGAGAAACCAAGGTTCACAGCTATGACTAATGAATAAGGTGGTCGTTTTGTTGTAGATTCAGGCAAGACAGTTTTACCCTCAATGAGCGTCAAAAAAATGCGTGCGTGAATTGCTAGAACTTAGGACATCGTGATGACGTAGGAAGCACAGGTATACCATTCATATAGGGAAGAATACTCCTTCGTCGTCATCAACGACGGCCTTATAAGCCTCAAGGCATGAAGACAAAGGTTTCTTTTTTGCTTTTTATTCACTTTCCTTTGGATCCTTTTCCCGTTTAGACTATTTTTGGCCGTGGAAGTGATTACACATTGAAGGCGTCGACCAATTGGGAACACGTCACACTCGACTGGCATTTTCACCGCCTCTCTAATGTAGCTGTTACATCATTTGACAGATTGCAGATGAAAATGAAGGTGCAGTTATCTCTTCTTATTTAACAGTTTTAGAAGAAGTTAGAAATCTCACAGAGTGGATACAGATGAAGGGAGAGGAGAGGGGTGGGGGGAGGGGGGGGTGCGTGAACGTCTGAAACGAGGCCTTCTCTTGCTCTAATAATGAACGCTAAGGCCAGTATTAAATAGATTCAGAGCTGATTGAAATTTTTGATCCATTATTTTAAAACTTTGTAGATGCAAATATTGGTTTGTTTGACTTTCATTCAAAGGCCATATTAATTATTAAGTTGCAGATCAATGGCACCAGTCTAGCTTTTGCCATCGACGGCTCCTTTTACAAGAGCGGACAGCAATCCGACGGCGTGCCGTTTAGCGGTCAGCTGACATACGAAGGGAGCTCTTCGCACTTGCAGGGAGATTTTAGAACCCAGTCTGTCTGGAGAAACGCTTTTGGGATTGAGTACTTAGCTATGAACAATCTGCGATTAGGGTAAGAACGGAAATGTTTTTGACACTTTAATAAAGTTCTCACTCACACTCACTCACAAATAAAGGAAAGATTTAGAATTATTCAATTTGGCAACTTGAAGCATGAAAACAGTCACAAGAAAGAAGATCATCGATCTTCAGAAGCGCAGCATCGGATCGCGAAGTATAAATCTCGTTACGTAAGGTGGAAATATTAATAATTATAATCATCATCATCGTCATCATCATCATCATCATAATGATAATGGTTTACTTAACAGATCCACAAGGTGGCTCTTTTCTGTTAGATTACATCATTTACAATTAACACAAATTACGTTATTTACAATTAAAATAATAAGAGTGATATGTGAAAGTATGGGGTAACCCTAGAAAAAAATACCAACAGACTTGAAATTACAGTAAAATTAACTAATCACTCCGTACCTTATCACATAAAAATTTCCTAGAAAGTTAAAGAGATGCTGTAATCTTTACACTTTCTAATAAATTCTAGTAAATTGTTAAATAGCCTCTACGCATTATCTTGGAAAATGCCGTTTTCGATCGGGACCACTAATCTAATGCAATTGCTTGAACGCAGTTCCTTGTGACATTCCTCTTTTATTATTTTTTAGATAATCTGGCCAAGTCTCAGTGTAAATAACCTTTTTCAGAGCCCAAATAATTTATGATTTTTCTTTTTTCTCTTAGGTTATCCCTGCCCACTGACCAATCACAAAAGAGCAGTATAAGAGGGGAAGCTGACCTTAAGTTGGGTTCTGGTTGCAACGCAACTCCTAGTGGGGAAAACAACTCCATTAAGGTTTGTACAAAGCTAACAAGAAAAAAACAACGAAAAATTTCCCAGTCAAGGCAGCGAAATTCTTTGTACCTTTTCTTTGCGCATTGATTTGAATTACACTGTATCTTTTTACAGAAAAATTGCGTCACTGGGCATCTGTACTTGGGTTTCTCAGATGAGTCCGCTGACCATTTCTTCTATGGCTCGCTGGCTCCTGTCAGTTTACAAAAGCTGCTTGAAGTGTGCAACATTAAACACAAGCTGCCTGGTGCTATGGCAACCGTAGGATTTCCTGAAGGCCTTCAGGTAAATCAGCGAGTCTGTAACTGGGGATATTATATCTAAAAAATTGCTTCCAAGCATGGTGTAGCATAACTATTCTAGGTGAAGAAGACGTTATGTGGGTCGCTGTGCGACCCTCCTCTATACCATGCAGTGTACAATTTTATAAACGTACTTTTGATTGACTTTCCCCCTCTGCATTAGATCTCTGTCGCCAAAGGAGCACACGACCTTCGTTCTCTTGGCGGACCAAACCTTAAACCGGGCTTCATATTAGAGGGCAAGATGAGTGTCTTGGGAATTGAAACCACTGGTGCAATTTCACTGCTACCGAGAGAGGTTTGTTCCACACAACGTGAAAATTTTCAAATTGAGGTAGTTTTGAGGCGCTAGTTTTGATTGCGTGCGTGTGCGTGCGGGAGGACTACACGCGTGTTTGTTCTTGCGCGTCTTACGCCTCAGCTTCTGAGCCGAGCTCTTCATTTAGAAATGACTTTTGGTAAATACATAGTTTCTTTTCTTCCATTTTCAGTTTCTGATTGACGCAAAAGTCATGTCAGACGAGACTCCGGCGACCCTTGATGACGTCACACCGTTGTTTTTGCCAAGTTCTGATCCTGAAGAGACACCCAAGGTATTCCTGCAGGCTCGAATAGATCCAGTCCCATTTGTGAAGGTAAAGAAAAATGTTTTCCAGGGATGTATAAACTGCAGATATAAGGTGAAGAGATGAAATTATCATCGGAGTCGTGCTTAATGGGAAGTAGACATCACAGGTTTTGCAAGGTTTGAGTTCATTACCATGAGGCCGCATAATTATGCACTCTGAGCAGGTTAATTGAGAGTTAATTGAGAGTTCGTATGTTCTCATGAAAGGGCTAGAACGATATGTGAAGGGTAGGAGTGAAATTCCCATTAACACTGACAGACGATCGATAGTCAGCAAGGAAAATTCATAACTTGAGACTGAAAGGACCATGTGAAAAACTTTGAGTATCTCCTTTCACCAAAATTTTGGAATGTTCTCCTCAAGTTTTTTTGTTCTTTTTCAGGTCGACGGTTACGCTCGGCTGTTTGGAATATTCAAGGAAGTGCGCATGCTCGTCACCAGTGATTCTCTGCAAATGTATCTAACAACTGAAGTGAACAAGTCATTCAAAATCAATGTTCACGTGACCACAAATTACAGCTCGGATCGAAATGAGACTCAATTCAATGCTACGGTTGTCTTTGACAATGGTTTATCTAAGGTAAGAAGTCATTCCTTCATTAAGCTCCATTTTCAATCGTTTCTTTCAAAGACTGTTTTAGGATTTCGTTTTGCAAGTACCCCTTCGCGAGAATCAAGCAATTTAAATTCACATTTGCCAAAGTAAAGCAATTTTATTTTCATCTTTTCAGACTGGAAAAATGCGCTCGCATCCCTTGTGTTAGTCTTTAAAAACTTTACTTATGCTTATTTACTAATTCCAAACTGCATGTACTGCGAAATCACGTAATTACATACAAAAATAAGGTTAAATAAAAAGAAGAGCGATTGTAAAATTCTAGACCATCGTTTGGTCCAACAAGAACAGTTCTTGTGTGAGCGAGGTTTGCTCAGTAAGGTGCAAATAAGCAGTCCTGTTTGGAAGATTGACTTTATAGTGACGTTTAAAACTAACTTTGATACATATGTTATCAATAGACCATGCGCGGGAATATCATTAAAAACAGCGTCATGTGATTTGCATTTAAACAGATTGCCCGCATTAACCTCCATTGCAAGCTAGTACCAGTCCAATACCGAGAGTACGAAACTGATCTCATTTTCTTGCGCGTGCAAAATGTTAAAGTGCTGATTCAATCTTTCCACAGTTAACTCGTCTCGCCTCAAAGCAAGTGGTGTTTATGCTAGAGTCGGAAATGTCAAAACTGAAATCAGCCAAGGGAGAAGTCCAGCGTCTCAGAAGAGAATGCGTGAAAACGATCAAACGTGAATGTTCTAGCTGCATGAGCCATGGAGCGTGTGCAAGTTCTCTCTCAAACTTTGACACAGACAGGGCGCTAAAACCATCCACAAACACTTCTGAAAGGAAACGAGATACAAAACGAACGAGATCGACCATGGACATCTGTCACCAGCTTGTTCTGGATCGTTGCCTGGCAACCGAGACCGCACCCCACAATGTTTGCAGATTTATCAGTTCAAAACTGAACAAGACATGCGCAGCTCACGAGGCTGCAGCCAATTCTCAGAGAGAGCTGGAGCGAGGGTTGCGATGGGTCAAGCAAGCCGAGCAGTTTATGTACAGCGATTTGTTTCAAATTCACGCGATTTCGTTCAAGACAAATGTTACTTCGGCCAACCTGGAGCAGCTTTATTTGGACACTGTTTTAGAAGTCACAATATTTGGACAAAGACAGAGGCTTGACGGGCTAAGGATGGATTTTAACGAATTCGTGAAATTATCCTCAGAGATCGCAAAGTACGCGATGGACTGGTACCAAAAGACCCAGCCCCAGTCCAAATCAAAATCCCGTCACCCTGACAACAGGCCCAGGCAGTAGTATTGACAATGGCGTGCATTATGACAAACAGTTTCTGACAGGAATCAATGTTTCATGATGTGTAAATTAAAGATCCTACGATCCGTAGCCACTGATAGTGGCCAATAAATGGTCGAGAACAACAATAGGTTTAGATGTAAAGTAAATCGTTTTTTTCAGTCGTGTAAAGTTTGGAATAATCTCCCGATGTTACTTTATAGCTAAACGAGCGAAAGTGTCGTAGCTACGAAAACTTGGTCATTTTGCTAACCTTAGTTGTGAGGGAAAAATCTTCCCATTCATTTCTTTCAAGCCATACAATGTTAAGAAAAGAACTTCAAGGCAAAGTTTAACTGTACTACACTTTAGGGCAGAATGGTTTGTAGAGGGAAACCAATTATGCTGACAATTATGTCGGTGCTAAATGTACGAGTATCATGTGTAGTTTAGACATTCAAGTTCTTAGTTCTTCGGATAGTTACAAATATCATGAATTTGAATGTACTAAGGGATATTGTAAGGTATTGTTATCAGAGAGAGGAATTTCTGCAATTTGAATTGATCAGCTAAAAGGTTGACATTATAAAGCAGGCCCAAAAATTAATCAAATTGGTATTGGAAATTATTGACATTTACTAAAGGGAGCCAAATATGTTGCGGCCCTTGCTTATTCTTCGGTTTTAAATTAGAACTCAGTCCTAACTCTCCTCACCGAAGAGGAAATTAGCTGATAAGCTTAGCTGATTTTTATTGAAGTTCCTTTTAAAGTTGTAAATTGAAGATGAGATAAACACTTTCCCTTTTTTTGTTAACAAGGTTTTAGGATTTAGATTCTCAGCGAGTGAGAATGGGAGATTCCAAACATTCACAATCAGTAATAACTGAACTAAAGCCTGCTTAACAGTTTACTGCTTTATGTAGAACTGTGGACATCTCGTCTTCTTTCTAATTAAGCGTCCAAAGGATTAGGCTTTTGTCAAACACTGTACAGAAGAGGAGAATGACTTGTCAGAAACTTCCAAAGCTTCAGTGATTAGTGACAAAACCTAACCCCGCAGTGGTTTCAAACAGTTTACCACTTCATGTATATGATATTTAATTATAAACAAGGAATTTCCAGAGGGAAGATTGTACGTAGCACCTACGATATGTGTTAGGTCATGTTTTGTTTGAACATATACAAAGCCAAATAAAGTAACTTGAGAAGAAATCTGTAGATCTGACTCTGAAAGTATCTTGTTTAACGTTTGATTACGCTATTCCCAGAAATCAGGTTGGCCTTTTTCGCGCGAAATTGGTCCGTACTTTCAATGTGAATTGTTGTCAGATTTCGTTCGTTGACCGTTAATTCGTGCAAGAATTTTCAACATGGCTCTCTCGAAATGTCGTTCCTTGCGGCTTTTGTTTTACATATTTTTCTGCCCTTCTACTTTTTGTAGCCCTCACTTTACAGCCAGCAACCCAGTTTTCAATTCACCGTATGATATTTTTTTGATTAACTGCCCATACACCTTCCCCAGCCCCCCTCAAGTACAAATAGTCAGTCACTAAATATGCGGTTTACACCACCACTCGTATAAAATGAAATCGAAACAAAATATATAAGATCCTATTTCAAACATGTTTATTGTCAATTTTAAATCATATTTGGTGTGTAGATCAACTAGTAATTTCTCATAGCCCTTTTATAGCCAATTCAACTGGGCAGTTGATGAGAAACACGATCCTCATCATCTCAAGTGAAACACATGCAAAGCAGTATAGGATACAAAGGTTTTACAGAACTATAACAAGTGGCAGAAATGGATGCCTTAGGTATTTCAGTGATTTTCCAGTGAAAACAGTGTGATTAGAAAACGCCTGTACAAATGAAGAAATACTTTGGGGAATGGAAAATTTGGCACGGAGTTGACTGGCTTCTTTAGCAGCCATGTTAAACTTGGAGTAACGAGTTCGCTCAGGATAGTTTTCCAAATCCAGAACTTGAAGAATTCTCACCAGGCCACTCCGGACATGCCAGGAAAATATGAACCCTGTACACTGCAAAACTGGGCTGAAATGAAAAGGAGAAAAATCACACTGTTATGTTATCAAGACACTATTAAAACTTTAAATGCAGCGAGTTTGAGCAACAATCATGGACAAAAGTCTTGCACTTTTGGCGCTTTTGCACACATGCCAGACGTGAATACAACTTCACCTGCCTAACCTCTCCCACCACCAACATACAAAGTTGAAAACGAGTACCTGTATTTTCTCCTGAGTTTCAACATTGTATTGGGTGGGGAAGGGAG